ACTTTAGAACAAAGTCTATGACAGGATTTCTAAGTCAACGTCCTGTATCGATTTCAAATGGGGTTATCCCGGTTGACGCTTGTACAAGTTCTTGATGGGCGTATTCTATCGTCGCAAGATGATCTGCTTTGTACGCCAATCAATTGTGGGGTTGAATTGGTGGAACCATGCTTTTCCCAATATCACGTCGAGCTTTTTCGTTCACAAATCCCATTCGGTTAATACTTGATCTGCAAACTTCCATCCTTCAAACGTAACTACTGTTTGTACTTCGTTTACTACTCGGCGCGGCGTGGATCGACCGTCAATACCCTCAATAAATACTTCTTTCTTTCCAATTACATTGGCAGTTAATTTTGGACGGTACAGATCATTTGTAGCTCCACTAACGATCAAAATGCGGACAGATTTGTCGTTGATCTTCTCATTAACCGTCATCAGTTGATTACTTGGTGACTTCTTTTTAACAAACATGATTTCTTGAGCGGCAAACATTACCACTTCTTCCGAGTCTTCATTGCCATTATCTTGAACAATTTTCGTGTTAATTGGCGGATGTTGGTGTTTCGACTTTGATGTGTTCGATAACGTTGATTTCGATTATCTTGGCGACTTCCATGATGTTGATTTCCTTAATGTCGTCTTCTTTGGGGACATTGGGCCATGTGGTGTCCTGGTTGTCCACACTGGTAACGATTAGAAGTGTTACGGCGTCTTCTACGCATCTGTGCATTGTCTGCTTCCATATCAACGTCTTCATCTGGCGAACTTTGCCTTGGCGGCAATGGCGCTGGCGGCGGCGGTGGTGGTGTATACGCCCGTTCTTCAGGTACGAATCTTTGCTCTTGGCGATGTCGATTACGTGCTGGCATCGCTAACGTCTTACTATGAATTCTCTCAAATTCCAAAGCAACTTGTATCGCTTCGGTAACCGTTTGGCATCGTCGGTATTGATTTTTTTCTCTCGTTTGTATACGCAAACCGCAGTTGAAAAATGTAACTTTATCGCGGTGCGTCATCTCGACTACTTGCGTGCAAATTTGGCGGAACTTCCCGATGTAATCCATCAAATCCTTGCAATTGGACTGCTTTAATGCGAACAATTTATCTCTTAAGCGCTCTTGAAGGTCCGCAGGCTCAAATTCACTGCGCGGGACTTCCTCAAACTCGGTCAGTGATTTACACTCCCAACTGGCTCTAACTCGGTCTTGATATCATGCAGCCGCGTGTTCACGCAAGTTGGCTACCACCATGGCGATGCACCTTTGATGTGCCGCCTCATTTCCATAGGGATTAATGTTCTTTGCTTGGGAAAACATGTTGACTTGATGAATGTATAATGAAATACTCTCGTCTAATCGTCCAAAGTACTTGAGCATTGTTAAACCCTCCACTCGAACTTCTTCTATTCTTGTTAGAACTTACGCGTTCCATCTCTTTTGCGCCTTCATAAAGGCTTCCATCGTTAATTGTTGTTGCTCTATGGCATGAGCTAAGGTATTGAATGCTTGTTCCATAGATTGCTCCATTAAATTGATTATAGCAACAACAACAAATGTGTTTAGCTTTAAACGTTTTTTTTCTACTGTTCTTGGGTCGTTAATTTCTTCTTCTTGCGCTTAGATTATTTGTCTTGGCGCGTGGTCTTATACAACTGTAAACCGTGGTCCCAACTAGCTCCGGGTAACTCTTCAATTTGTTCCACTCGGTGTAATAAATGCTCCGAAATGTGGTGGATCACGCAACGTGCGTCGGCGTTCTTGGCGTCAGGGATCTTGTTCAGGATGAGCTTGATTATCCGGTGTTGCTTTTCCACCGTGAGCGCCAAGTCTTTTCGTAATTTGTTTGCAGCGTCGCAGTCGGCGGTGTTCTCGAATAACAAGTCGAACGTTCTTTTGAAAACAGACTTCGAGTTCGCGCGTCTTTCGCTTTCCCATGCACCAACGCAACGACTCTGTGAAGTTCTAAATCGGTATGAGATCAAGGGCTTTGCTCTGCCTATTGGAACGCTATCCTTCGTAGTTTCGAACAGCGGGACAAGCCAATGATTTGACGTTAAACTCAACTTCTGCTAGATGGAGCTTCTGATGTGATGGTTTGCAAAAGCCCAACCCACACAACTCTTACAACAACACTCGGATAGTGCGTGTATAAGGGACAAAAACCCAGTAGGAATCCAAGCAGCGACCAACAAGTGCTACCAAATGTAAGGACTATAGGCAAGCGTAACCTATGCTCTACGTTGCTCTGAGGAAGCAAATACGATAATGAATTATAAAAGCTTGCTCCGAGGAAGCAAATACGATAATGGATAATAAAAGCTTGCTCTGAGGAAGCAAATACGATAATGAATTATAAAAGCTTAAACAAATAAAACTGATTATCAATCCTATGAATATGTAACCACTTGTGAGTGTTGATCTTGTCGTATTTCGTGTCGTATTTCGTATTTCGTATGTCGTATGTCGTATTTCGTATGTCGTATGTCGTATTTCGTATTTCGTATGTATTGTCGCTCGTCTTGTATCTTCATATCATATGCAGTTATGCAAGACGTTAATAAACGCTAAGTAACGTTATATAACACTTGGTGTTATATGATCGTTACACATTTACTGCTCATACAAATCAGCAAAACCTTATCATCGCTGTGCGTACTCAACGCGAGATGGTCTAGGAGTAGCTGGTCATACCATCGCGTGGGCCAGCGATGTTCAGCTGTCTGGTGAAACAGCGGTTCGGATCACAACTTGGCTATGCATAGACCTTTAACAAGAGAATAATTTAAAAGGTGACAACACTTGAAAATCTGACAAGAACGTTTCACTTTAAAAAAAATCAAATGTAGACTACTTCGAGTATACTTATGTATATATATGTATAGATCTTGCATTAAATAAACTATTTATGAGATGAAATCGCCTCACCAACCAGGCTATTACATTGAAGGGACGTCATGTAAGAGGAAAGCATGCTGTAGAGCCCTACATCACAGAGCAAATTAGTCAAAGCTCCTTAACTTTCACCGGTGGAATTTGAGCTCACGATCAATTGATTGACAGCCTATCGACGTACTGCCAGATTGTGGGTGATTACGACAAATCTGTGATGAAGCTTGATCATTATTGCTGTCTGGCGAATTGTTTTTATGTTACAGATTATATTCTAGCTTCACTTCCACAATATATAACGATATTTTCATTTGTCACCTTGTCGGTATGCGCACTTGATGTATTCTTACACTGTTGTTGATAGCAAAAATATGTATACATGTGTACATATACATAAGTAAACCCGAAGTAGTATCCTCTTCATATTTTTTAGAGGTGTCATGTTCATGTCAAATTTCAGTGTGAACCTTTTTGATATATTCACCATAATTGTACAGATAGTGGGGTTAAGCAGCTTCACTAAGCACTTTTTATACAATGCTTAGTTGAAGCGCTTAAATCAGCTTTTTGTCAATATTGACGAGTGTGTCGTTGATGCATACAGAATTGCTTTCTGTATTGCTTCACTTAGTAAAATGCCATGCGGGCAAATCACAAACATAAAGAAAGATCATTGTAGATTAACCAGTGCCTTTGTCCACGAAGTCGACTACTTGCACAGGTATAGTCCAGCCATTTCAATATGACACGACCCCTAACCAACCGATACCACATGTTGTCAACGTGCGGCAAAAAGGCTGCCTTTTGGACTGAGAAAAGTCGAATGCGTTTTTCTATTCTAAACTTCCTTTATTTGGATCAAAAATATTTGTCGTCTTTGACTGTCAGCCATTGCAATAGGCTGCACTTTGTTAAGCATATGGCAATCGGCATGAGCGCAAGGTTCGTTTCGTGCAAGTGCTGCGGAGGATACCCGCAATAACGCATCTCATGCGCTCCGTTAGACTATCTAGTTACGGTGGTCACATCATCTGGTGCCGAATGATGTTTGCTAAAACTTCGTTGTGGAGTTCGGTTGTCTTCCTGATACAGGAAAGCCATATGTGGCGAAAAACAATGTCAAGGAATACTCTCACCGGGCACGGTGTCACTGACAACATTTCAATAAGGCATCTTGCTTAGACACTTCACTACGATCCCAACATAGGGAGATTACCAGATGCGTAATCACTAAAATGTATGCTTATGGAAAGGTTGCATTTTGCCGCAATCAGTAAATTCGCCATATGCGCCAGTGTCTGTGGTACCGGTTGACACAATTCACGCGTGCGCATATATGCTATAACCTACTGATTCATCTACACCCTAGCAATTTCTGGGTGGTACGTCTCTTCTTTACCATCTTGGTCATCCAAAAGGGTATCTGCCCGTAGATTATTTTTATTTGACATCCACTTTTTAAAGTTTTGCCTCAAATTGATTCAGTGCAAAGACACACCAAGTGTTTAGTTGATAAATAGCGTTGCAAAAGTGTAACCACATTCTTTGACAGAACGGCATTAGAAACCAAAGGTTTCCACCTCCCTAAACCATTTTTTGCAATACTAAACACGTGGTGTGTGACGCTAAGCTGCATATATTGTTTCATCAATGCGCGACGTTGCAATTATGACATGCAACAGCTTAAATTCGTGCGACACGATATATCAACCGCCATTGAGTTGGGCCGACACGGCCTCTACCATGATTTCTGGCGAAATGAAGCGGCATCTTGCCATTCCATGTGAGATACGTTCTTCCAACTGAAGTGTATTGTATACAATAATTATGTACAAATATCTTTCCAACAGAGGGTAATTTTTGCTTGGTCTAAATGGCGGCGGAGTGGTCAGCCTTTGGTGCAAGTCGCTGTATGATAGCGTGGGCAGATCTGCATGTCTATCACGATGAGATCAGTAACAAGTTTGACATCTCGTTTGAAAGTTTAAGGCAAGATTTGCCATGACGTCCTCGATTTGTGTTGCCAGGATTGAATATCAAGTTGATCGGTCAATCCTTGCCTATCTAAGAAGTGTATCACGGCTTAGTTTGCAAAGTGTGTTAACTTAAACGCTTTTAAATTTCTAAGCCGAAGATGACTGAAGTATCACTCACATTATTTATACTGTGATGGTTGTTAGTATAAGAAATCGTTCAAACCAAAATTATTGATGAATTTTAAACCAAACTCGAAATTTATACTGTTAATTGTTTATATAATAATAATACACACTGATGGTTGTTAGTATATCAAATCGTACTTAGAAAATCAATAATAAAACTCGAGCCAAACTCGTTATTATACTATGAAGCGTTTCTATAATAATATACACTATTCACAATGTGATGGTTGTTTGTATAAGAATTTGTTCTAAGCAAAATCATCAATAAATTTCGAGCCAAACTCGATATTTATAGTGTTGAGTGTTTAAGTTTCATATACTATAATATCTGATATTTGACGGAGCTTTGACGTCTTTGTCGGTAGATAATCGTGCATATGACGTTTGATGAGTCCATTGCCTTCAATGGCAGCGAGGATGGGCCATCATCGTCGCTGAACTGCTTTTCTCTGGGTGATGAAATGTTTATGTCGTTGTACGCAGCGGGCATGTTCGTATTGATTGCAAATTGCTTAGAGCCAAGCAAGCATTCATCAAACTTGATAAGGCCATACTTTCTTGCAAATAGCACCTTAACGTGACTAAATTATTCGTCCATACCTATTTGACCTGACGAGACTCGATCGCAATCACGCGGTCAAGCATATCCACAGTTATTTGGAGAAAGGTACATCCTCTTGCAAAGACTACAACGTCACAGACGATATGAAGTGGCCAATGCCAGAATCGGGTCACATGAGCGGATTCTTCCACAACCTAGATAAACTGCTTCTTCTGCCGCACCTTGACACCATTTGACATCCGCTTTAAGAAGATCGGCGAGAGTTGTGTCATCTCAATATCGCTTGAACTGGTCTTGTGCACATAGTTGATTAGATCGAACCACTGCCTGAAGTCCTTTCAAGCAGAGGCAACGCTATTTCTACAGTGTTCTTCACGTTGCCAGATCTACTACAAGGACATGCTTCTTAATGAGGCAACATAAAAAATTATAATTCACCGGCGTCAGCGGTTTACTTACAAATGTAACGTGGGGCTTCTTTCCTTCTTCGTGAATTTCCTGGAAATATCGTCGATGATATCGCATAAGTTCTATGGTGAGGGTCATCGCCGTAAGAGGCAAAATCAGGTTTCAGGAATAATGTCGGTTTTATGACGCTTTCCCCACCCAGGCGTATCATGCGCTGTGTCTCTCTTGGAATAACTCGAAAATATCACCAGAAACGAATGAGGAATACAAAGGCTCCCTGAGGACATTTGTGCAACTTGGCGTACTCTGTGCACGAATGATGTTAGCTAATTGACAGATTAATCAGTGACAGGTGATGAGCTCAGAACGTCATCTGGTATCAATCGTGCCATTTTGGCGATTCTTTCGTCTTTTTATGTTCTGCACATACCTCCAAGATATATTTCCCACAATCCCAATAAGAGCATTTGCTAGATGTAGTAAGAAAGCATAATAGCCCCTCAGGCTACCTTGGTAACTCTAGCTAAGAATGCATAATATTTCTTGTCACTTTTCAGGAAAAAATATCGCTCGTATGTAGAGCACGTCACAGATGGTGCGGCTCAGCAGTGCCTTCGTGTTCTATATTAAATTGTGCTCTTTCAAAACAAAAATTGATCACTCAAGGCATTTTTCATCGTGACAAGTATGGATATTTGTCCTTCAGTTCATGACTCACGGTCGCTCTTCCACTAGCTCTTAAACAAGAGACGTCAGGTTTTAGCTGTTCACTAACGTATCATCGTTATGTCTTTTAGCAACGCAACATACAAGGAATGCTTTCTGTCATAAAGTAGCAAACTCAGGAGTCCGCGGTACACATAAGCTTTTGTTTAAATCACCCGGATACTGCGATTTACCGCCGCTTCTGCCTTATGAGCTTTTTCTTTAGGCACTAAACAAAACTGTAGATTTTGAACAATCACATTCCCGCACGCCGACTATCGCATCTTAAGCTTACGAAAAGAAACTTCCACCTTCTTGTGGATGGCTTCATGAATTGTATCGAAAGTGAAAGCTTGGCATATACTCATTTGTTCCCTGAATCTCGGCGTTCCTGCCACGTCATCTCTATGATGAGACCATATCTTCAATCCAGGTCCAAGGCGGTTTTACGTTACAAATTGCTACAGTACTCAGACTACACGTTTTGCTTCATCATTGACTTTGATTTTCTGTTTGGGTTCCCGTCGCAAGCCGCACGAAATACTGTAGTTAGATTATTTTACTGCCTCTGCGTTAGAACTCCACATTCTGCTTCGATCGATTTGTTGAACATATCTGCGGAAAAGACGACATATTTATTTCTTAGCTGAAAGCAGGAGCACTCGAGGTAGATGTTATGTGCGGCCGTAAAAAAAAATAGTACCGCAAAGCTGCTCGGCAGCTAAGCGCTCTCTCGTCCTCTTTAGCAATGCTATCCTTCGTCACAGGCTCTCGCACATAACTTCTATTTTCAATATCGCATTTGACCATCGTGCACGTTGTGCTCTGATGAAATACCTACAGCCAAACTTGAGGACACTATCCGCATAATTTATTTTGCTTAAGCGATAAACATCAATCATGATCTTACAGAAACTGTTTGGTTGGGTGATACAAAACTAGCTTTTTTGTCGCTTGTATACGCTTATATTGCTTCGTCCTTAGAATATAGCACATAAGTGCCCGATTTCCATTTGCGTTATTCTAGTATGACAACAGCTACAGCGATGCGTTGTTGGTCCGTCTTGAACAGAAAAAAATACATGATCATTTCAACCCTCATTTTCTCGATAAGATTGCTATTCTTGGGCTTGTAGGTAAGACCCTTCGCAAAATCGTCTTCACCGTGGTAGTCATTCTTGCTTGCACGGAGACGTGATTACGATGCTCCGTGCACGTCTCAACAGTACATTTCCATAACAAATTACCGCCTTATATGATCGATAAGTACTATCAGACATGATGGTACCGATAGCGTTTTTCCTGAATACGAGCTTTCTAGTCGCGTTGTCCCATGAGCAAACACGTGAAGATATCATGTTTCTTCCTCACGAAATTCGAAGTGTTGTACAGATCGGTTGTACAATTGACGAGAAATTCTACCAGATGTATCGGTGTTGCTGCGCACTTCGCACGGAAGGAGCTTTGACACATTTAGTACGAGTACACTAACGTGGATTTGAGCACTTTATCATGGGCAAATCCAAGAGCCCATCAAGTAAGTAATATTGATAACACTCTTATATTTAGAATGACATAAATTTATAGCGAGGGAAATATCAACTGATTCTAGGTATTCTTGACAACCTGCAATACAAAAAATTTATGTACCGCATTACATGAGGCAGGAAACGAACGTGTTCTACCAACTTCTCTTCTACAGAGTTTCATTGCTTTCATTCGTACCAATACTTGATAATATGGAGCTTCGCTCTGAGCCCGGGATGTTGTATTCAAAGTATCTCCTTACAGTATCCCTGTAACACGTTTATCATGTGTTTCGAGGCATTGCGCAACAGTTATGCTTTACAAGCACCCACTAAGCCTTGAGGTCTTTATTTTATACTTGTATCCTACAGCCTTTGTTACTTCGAGCATTATTCACATTGGGACACCCCTTTCAAACTCGTTATCTTTAACGAGCCACTGAGATTGGGTTGGCTCTTAATGCCAACTAACTACGGACCGTGCTCAGTAAAGCGACCGAAGTGCATATCGATGGGAATAACACAGTGATCATCAACATCCCAGCCCGGCATCGCCAAGGTTCTGACTTTCTTTGCGAGCGGTACAACGATTCTTGCGTCTACAAATAGGCAATTAGAGCTTACTGAGCCAACTTCTGCTTACTAGTGACTAGAACGACGTCGTCGTAACCTCCACGGTGATGTGCTAGCGTGGAAGCTCACAATATAAATGAAACTATAGGGCTTCTACATGTTGATGATTCCGAACAGTCAGATCCAAGCTGAGCAGTCCATAAGTTTGACTCATCAAGAAGCATGTAAGCTTAGATCTCGGAAGGCATGATGTTGGTAAGGAGAACTCCCAGATTCTTTTCTGCCGCAGGGTGACTAAACGATATTCTTGACATCGGGCAGAGATGAAACAGAACGTAGAGACAAACAAAATTGTCATTGGCCCTCGCTACGTCGCGAAATAGCCCCCATGGCCGATGTATACAGCTTGTGTTGAATAAATGAAGCGAATTGTGCGCTTCATAGTCACCGAACAGACGCTTTCTTACCTCAGACGTGACTATTCTGCGAAACAATTAATAATGTTTCGGGTGCACTATTCTACATTCGCGAACAAGGTGAAAAAAGGCACGATCTATTGACTCACGGTACTGCAAGCCAGCTTTAGTAAAGCCGACATCAATATTAAGCTTCGATTGATGGTCGACTTTGTAATATACAAAGTTCGACATAACGCCATGATAGACATTCACCACTTCAAGCTTTCGCATTCGACAGCTCTGCTGGTACACTTGAGCCTGCTGCCACAGCCACAGGCTAAGTCGCAATATGAAGCAAGGCGGACCTTACTTAAAGTAAATTCCGTTTCGTTCGGCGAACCAGGTTATCCTGAGAAAGAGAAGACAGAGGGTGCGCTACGTTCCAAGCGGCAAAATTGCAAGGGCAATCTTACCAAAGTGGGATCCCAGAAAGCTCTAAGACTGAATATATCCCGTCTACTTCGTCAGAGCCGACCACAGTTTGGTGAGTCCACCGGGTCACTATCTGCTTATGCATTCCCAACTTTGAAGCCGGGCCGGGGCACGTCTTTCCACGCTCGACTCTTCGATTGCCCTGACACATCGGAGGCATAAGCGTGCGAAATGTTCAAATAAAGTTTATTTTTCACATGCACTGTCTAGGCTTAGCAATTGTATCGAATGCTTGAGACATTCCAAGGCATAAAATCGACTTGACAGAGTACAGGTAATGATCGCCCCGCTGATTCGTCTACAATAGAACGCTTTCCATTTGGATACTTTTGTTGCATTCTCTTTCAGTCTTAGCTCAGACATTTCTGACGACAACTATTAGCGGTCTGAGTAGTAAGGGCGTACCTTACGCAAACAGGCTGCAAACAGATAGATTTACAGCGGGAAATAAAGTTCACCACAATAAATGTATGTTTATTTACTTCTGTCTTTGGTGTTTGCATGATCGCCAAGAACTTCCTGTCTCTTATACATCATGCCACGCTCTCACCTCATAACGCTCAATTATGATAAAATTACTGATTTGGCATCAAGATGAAGCCGGACAGTCGTATCCTTCACCACCGAGACCGGGGCCACTACCGAAGAATTAATCGCTGATGCTGTTTTGTGCTAAGCTACGACGCGCCTTGAACGGCTGTGTCACACACACCAAATGCTTTAACAGCCCGCATGCGTTCGAAAGCTCCTGAGTGCACATCGAAAAGAAAAGGTATTAAGTACAATGCAGCTGAACATGCTGTTCTGTAGCACACCTTCTTCAACAATTGTTGTTTGTTTCTGAACGATGGTCGCACTATTGAATGGTCCATTTTTTGCTGCTTGCTGTTGGCAATTCTGGCTTACACAAATGACGCCAAGTTGTGCCTTTGTCAACACTCTGAGTTTTGCGCCACACGAATTGCCTATTACGTCACACTGGTGTCTTGGTTTAAGCCATTGTTGGGTGACAAACTATTTGCTTTTGGAATAGTCAACTTTATGACGCACTCCTGGATCCGAGGGCAACATTGATGTCTGTCGTGACCACGTATCGATATTTCTTAACTAACGGGTTAAAGTGACCTGTTCGATCCTAAAGGATTTTGTTCAACTTATCGCGCTAAGGCAATGAGACTATTTCCGATGGCAAACTCAATAAAGTCAGATGATAGGCTCGGTTCGTTCCATTAAATCGTAGTAATTTTGTCTTGCGTGCACACAATTCCTATAGATGACTCTTCATCCTGAATAAGAGTTTCTGTAAAATTTAGTGAGATAAGAATTAGCCCCTAAGACTACCTAGTGAACAACAATATTGTTTGCGTAACCGATTTTGACACAATCCTGTGGGACTTAAACTGCTCCGCGCAGTGGGCGCGATACATACCATCGTTGGCTCAGTAGTACTATTATACCAAGACAGTAGAGCTCCCGTCCGGTTCCTCTAGATCTGAGATTTCATCCTGCGACTTACAGTTGACCATAATCACCTGCTCTCGTTCAGCTGATGAAGGGCAACATCAGCTCTGACTCGTCTCCGTAAAATTGCATGCTAAAGATCACATCACAAGGTTGCTCAAATATGTTCAACCAGAATCCACCTATGGGGACGGCGACAAACTACCGCTAAATCTTGTCTATGGTAAAGATACACTATAACTCTGCAGTATAAGATTGCTATACTCAATTTTTTGGGACCGTTTTCAGTTGCCGCTTCTGGCTACTGAGCGTAGCTCAAGCCGCCTAGCAATGCACCGCAAATGAATTTGAGCAACGCTTGTCATGCACAGTTGCTATCGCAACATCATGCTCATGCCAAACGTTTTTTTGCTCCCTAACAGGGGTTGATTGATCACTCGCCGTGACAAAAGTTTGTGGAATCCTATTTCTTACAGCTCACACCGTATATCGTTCCAGTCGTACCATATCTATGATGTAATCGTTTCCCGGGTTGATTTCTAGGACACGACATGGTAGGTGCCACAGAAGCCCTCAATTGTTATAATAAAGCAAGAAAAATTGTGGCAGTGCTCGTTGTGAGACGCATGGATATTGTATCCGTGTTCAAATTCTTATAAGCTTTTACTGTTTTCAACAATCTTGCATCGTACACAATTACTCGACACTTTCGAGTCCATCAAGACTTTCCACAGTCTTGCAGAGAGCGGAATGTCGAATTTTATTATTTGAGCTGTGAATCGTATATTTTTAAACAGTCCTTTTTGTTCGGCTAGGCACCCTAGACCTTGGCCTTCAAGATTAACAAAAATTTCGATTGTCTCCCAGTAGACCACTCTGCGTATTTTAAATCTTGACGTTCCCCACGAAGAGTCTATCAACACTGTGTAGCTTCAGGACTCTTCACAATCCTCGACTAGGCGAGATAAACATAAGCAGAGCAACTTGTGTTTGATGTTGCCGCAGATGCAGCATCTGCAAATACTAAGAAGCTGCGCGGTAGCTAAGTGGGTACGATCTATTGGATAGCTTTTATGAGGTTTTTAACAACTGGAGCGCACGTAGACCCCCCACCTGTTACACCTGAAAGAGCCCCTGATTACCGAAACTGTTTTGCCATTTAATATGACGCGCTCCGCCTTTGAAAAACGTACATTATCGTCCAGCAACTTTCCAAAAAGACGGTAAGTATGATAGCTTCGAGAGAGGATCGTTTGCAATCACGAGAAAAATAGCTTTCGTTTTATGACACAGTGCATCAGGTCTCGCCCCTAGAAACGGGAAGACAATTTTCTTTTGATTTCAAATTTTTTGTGGTATGGCACACCTGCGACATTACTTCCCACTTCCCTTGCTAACATTCTGCTCGTGTGGCCTCCTTCTTGGGGTATAATAATTTTCTTACTATTGAAAAGCATATAGG